GTTCCTTAAAATAGATGGCTAAACTATGACCATAGACATTTTAAGATTATGTGTATATTATTTTTGTCTCATCCTTTATATACCATAACAAACCTACATAGACTTTCATCACTTGTTTAGGATTTCTTATTTTTTCTATTTTGGAAAATATCTCCATTCCCATATCCTTTTAACATCTTTTACATTCTCCTTTTCTTTTTTAATAATTTTAAGACATAATAGCATTAACAAATAAATCTTCCATCTGTTGTGAGAATTTTTTTCCTGGGGATACTAAGCAATGCTTATTGCCTTTCAAGGTTGTAGTGTCAAGCCAATGTCAAGGCCAATTAAAGTTTTACTGGGGAACGAATGAATTTACTGAGCTTACTTACCGAAATAACTGTTTTCTCAGTTTTTTTAGGCTTTGTTTTTCATGGGGAGGCTTTCCTCAGACATAAACTTTGGCTACCTGTTCATCTACCACTAATTTGCTGTCAAATTGCTTACCAAAGCTCCATGGGCAAAGGCAAGCTCAGGGAATGGTAATTGTCCTTCAGGGTTCAGTGGTAGATCAGCTGGGTCCTACGTGCTTTCAGAGAAATGAAGAATATTTTTGTGAAAGCCAGGAGTAGTGCAGCTTGCCTGTACCCCAGCTCTGGGGAGGTAAACACAGGCAGATGTTTAATTCAAAGCAAGTCAGTTTCTGCAAAGGATTTTAGTAGCACAGAAAATAATCTCAAGAATGGGATTACATGAAATCAAGAGGTTTCATCTCAGCAAAAGGGGAAAAATAGATAGTTTTCAACTATATGTTAGATAAGGGATCAATATCCAGAATATATTAAAAAAAAACACAAAACCCCAGAATTGTTCAAACAATAAATAAGTTAACGAACTGAAGAGGCACTTCTCAAAAGAATAAATATAAACGGCCAGTAAAGATTTGAAAAAATGTTCAACATCCTTACCCATTAGGGAAATGCAAATTAAAACTGCTTTAAGTTCCATTTCACGCCCTCTTTGAATAGCTATCATCAAGAAAACAAATATTAACAAATGCTGGAGATGACGTGAGGAAAGAAGCTGGTATAGCCACAGTATTGAGGTTCCTCAAAAAAAAAAAAAAAAGACAGCAGAGTTTAGTGGCACATACCTCTAATCCCAGCACTTGTGGCCAGCCTGATCTACACAGAGTTCCAGGTCAGTTGGGGGTACAGGGAGACCTCCTCTCAAAACAAACAAAAAACCTAAAAATAAGCCTGGCCTGGTGGTATATACCTTTAATCCCAGTACTTGGGAGGCAAAGGCAGGTCAGGCCAGCCTGGTCTACATATCAAGTTCCAGACCACCCGGGGCTCACCATGTAGACCACGCTGGCCTCAATCTCAACAGGATCTGCCTGCATCTGCCTCCTGACTAGAAGTGAGGCACTGTCAAGCCAGGATAAAATTGCATCTGATTTCTTTCCTTCTTTCTTTTGTAACCCAGGCAGTCCTTGAACTCTGAAGTGCTGAACTTCTGCCTCCAGCTCCAAATTGCTGGTATTACAACAGAGCGCCTCCACACCCAGGTGATTTCCATTTTTTTGTTTTTATTTTTTTTTTAATTTTATGTGCATGAGTGTATGGCCTACATGTATGTAAGTGCACCCATATCATGCAATGCCCTCTGAGGTCAGAAGAGGGTGTTGGATCCCCTGGAACTGGAGTTGTAGATGGTTGTTGATAGGTAAAGTAGGTGATGGATGAATCCAGTTGATGGGGAGAAAGCACCAGGACACAGATAAAACTCCATCGGAATAGAGTTTATTAGCAAAGGAACACATGGGACAGATTCCCTTCTGGGCAGGGAAAATGTCTGCCCAGGTGGTGAGCTGGGGTCTTTTATAGGAGGAGGCTTCTTCAGGGGCAGGAGAGTGGGACTGTTAAAACCTGCTCCCTTCTGTCTGTCAGCCAGGATCTGGATCAGGAAGTGTTTGTTTTTGTCCTCTTAAGATAAGGGAAAAACTGCTGTGCTGAAGTGGCTTGTGAAGTCTCTGGTTAAATGGTGGAATCTGTTTATCTTGTCTTCGGAGATCAAAGGAAAAGCAAGCTGCCTTTTAGAAGAGTCTGCTTCTCTTGACTTTAAAGACCAGGGTGCTTATTAACTTGGTTACCTTTTTCAGAGTTTTGCGAGGTCCGTGAGGCCCTGTTGTTGAGGGGGCAGAGCTATCTGAACCTCAACAGTTGTTAGCCACCATGTGGGTGCTGGGAATCAAACCCAGGTCATCTGCAAGAGCAGTCAGAGCTCTTAACCACTGAGCCATCTCTCCAACCCCTTGTTTTTGTTTTAACAAGCCTTTAATCCTGGCACTCTGGAGGCAGAAGATGGCAGATGTCTGTGAATTCAAGGTAAGCCTGATCTACATACCAAGTTTCAGGTCAGCCAGGGCTACACAGTGAGAGCTAGTCTTTAAAAAAATATTTAAATAGCAAAATGCTTGACTTAAAAAAATTATTTTTTGAAAGAGCAAAATCACTCTTTAAAGACTGGTTGCCTTACTTGTAACAGCTACACACAAAAAAGTTAGAAAATTGCCCTTGATAATGATAAACAATGATAAACGAAACAGAATTAAATTCCCATTGAACAAAGCATGCAAAGATTTTTGTGTTGTTATTAAAACAGTGAGGGCTAAAGGATATCCTGGCATATAAAGGTGAGCTCTAAGAATGACAAGAATGGCAGCGGCTCTGTCACAGCCTACTTCTCCCTCAGACTGAATTCCAGGATGACCTGGGGTGCCAGAAGGCTGAGGCATTGTCCTGGTTTGTCTCTTGATTGCTGTGACAAAATACTCTGAGCACTACCAACTTGGGGAGGAAAGGTTTTATTTAGCTTACATATCCCGGGTCACAGTTCATCCGGGAGCCCAAGGTAGGAACTCAGGGCAGGGATCTGGAGGCAGGAGCTGGAGCACAGGCCATGGAGGAACACTGCTTACTGGCTTGCTCCCCTGGCCCCTGCTCAGCCTGCTTTCTTATGCAACACAAGCCCACATGCCCAGGGCTGGCACCACCCACAGTGGGCTGGGCCCTCCCACATCAGCTGATCAAGAAGATGCCCCTCAGACATGGCCACAGGCCAGTCCAATAGAGGAAATTCCCCAGTTGAGGCTCCCTCAACCCAGGTGTGTCAAGTTGACACTAAAGCTATCCAGCACAGGCATGGAGAGCAGTGTATGCACTTCCTACAACAGGGGCCAGCGAGTTGGAAGTGACAGGACAGAGGAGTCTGCTCCCCACTGAGTTTCTGAGAGTCGCAGGCCAGGTGGGCAGATCCCAAAGGGGAGCAGACCGCCCTGCCTGGCCCACAGCTCCCAGGTGCTTTCCATCACCTACTCCCTGACGCGTGGGGTCCACTCCTTCCATGTGCTGTGCAGGCACCCTGGGGAGGCCAAGGTCACCCAACATGCCATTCTCCTGACCCAAACCCTTCAACTGAGATTTGTCTCAGGAAAAACCAACATCACCCAGTCACTCTGCTTTTTGGAGACCCGGTCTTACTATGTAGCCCTGGCTGGTGTGGAACTCACTATGTAGGCCTGGCTGACCTAGAACTCACAAACATTCCATCTGCTTCTACTTCTTGAGTGCCAGGATTACAGGTGTACACCACCATTCCCTGTTCCACTCTGCTGCTTCTCCTCCTCCTCCTCCTCCTGCTCCTCCTCCTTCTTTCCTCTTCTTCCTCTTCCTCCTCTTCCTCCTCCTCCTGCTCCTGCTCCTCCCCCTCCCCCTCCTCCTTCTTTTCTCCTTCTTCTTCTTCTCCTCCTCCTCCTCCTTCTCCTCCTCCTCCTCCTCTTCTTCCAGGAAAGCAGAGAAGATTCCCTGCAGAGTGTCCAGCTTCCCCTCCCCCTCCTCCTCCTCCTCCTCCTGCAGTGTGGGTGGCTGGGGAAGTCTCTCTGAGCTTAGGAAGCAGTGCAAAGGTATTGTATGTTTGGGGGAGGGTGCGGAGGGAATGTGAAAAGCAGCAAGGAGCCTGGGAGGCGACTCAGGAGATGAAAGCAGTTGCTGCCAAGTCTGGGGGCCAGAGTTGCAACCCTGAGGACCCACATAGCAGAAGGAGAGAACTGACTCCCACAAGTTGTCCTCTGACCAACACACACACACATACACACACACACACACACACACACACACACACACACAAACACAAACACACTGTAATAAAAAATTTAAAAGAAAAAGAAAAAGCAGCAAGGGAAGCCAGAGCAGAAGGAGTTCTCTTGGGAAGGGAATGCTTGGAGGATATTACCAAAGCTGCGGTTTTTAGGGCTGTGAGGTGGGTAGGGAGGGGTTGGAGGACTTGGAACAGAGATAGCACATTCGTCATCTGACAGGTTCAAACAAATCATCAAGAGGCTGCCGGGACAGATCTGAGAATGAACTGACTTCATTAACAGTTTGCAAAGATGGCTGCCGCTAATGGTGGGCACACTGTGAGGGACTCAGAGTGGAACTGGGAAGTTAAACGGCCCAGGCAGCCATCCAAATGAGAAAGGTCCCTCCGAAAGCCTCCTTATCCCCATCTCCAGTGCATTCAGAGCCTTGGGAGATTTCCAGTCAGGCATTGCTTGCCACAGTGAGTGGATAGAAAAAGCCTGGACAGATAGCTTAGGATGAAATGAAACTTGCAGCAAGAGGTTAGTTGGTGAGAGAATAGGACAGACCGACAGTTACCCTTATCGCTGTAAAATCATTTTTTACAAATTAGGTCAAATTATCCCACCCACACCAAAAACGCCAAGCACAGGATGTCTTTCTTAATTTCCTCCGAAGGGCTGCCAATTCTGCCTCCACCCCCAACCTCTGAAGAAAAAAATTCACCAAGAAGTGAAAGTAGACAATGTCAGTGTGCATCTAAAAACAACCTTTTTACCTGTTGCTCCAAACACAGCAATTACTTTCCTTTGAGCCATGTTACCAGCTTTCCTCCAAGCAACGGAGCAGCAAGTGGCTGAGCAGTGACAAACAGCACAAATGCAGGTTTTTCCTTGCGTGAGAAGTATAAGCCAGTCTGATCACCACACCCTTTGTATTCTGCCCCTCCCTTGAGAGGCTTTCTTTCCTTGCTTTAACCACCTACTTCACTCATGCTGGCTGCAGCTCTTCAACAATTCATTCTGGTAGGGAATGGAGCACTTCATATTCTGGACAGTAGAAAGGAATCTCCATGTATATCCTTTTAATGGCCTATTTGTTCTGAGTTAACTCTCTAGCCCAAGTGGTGCTGGAAGAGGTCCAAAGACCCAGTGATTCAGGAAGTACCTGAGCTCAGATGTCTAAAAAGAAGACAAAGAAGGGTAAGGGCTGTTAATGACTGAGTCCAACACCTGGCTTTTCAAGAATGTGCCCACCACCTACTGGGGGCTGAGACAGGGAGCAAGCATCCACTCTGGTACACTTAACTGCCTCTCCCTCTAAAAACTATCAGCTGGAGATGAGCTGCTAAGATAGTTTCTTTAGGATGTCATCCTGCTACCTTCTCACATGGATCCTCTGTATCCTCAGCATAAAGATTCAATTCCTGCCTCTGCACTGATGTCTGTGGCAAAGGGAGAGTCATTTCTGTTATTCTGGCCATAATCCCTCCACATGAGACACTGAACCAGAGGCCACAAAGGTCTGGATTTACTAAAGAGAATATTCTCATAAATAAATAGGGACTGGAGAGATTACTCAGCAATTAAAAGTACTGGCTTCTCTTTCAGAGGACCTGGGTTCAATTCCCAGCACCCATATAGTGACTAACAACTGGCTGTAACTTCAGTTCCAAGGGATCTGATTCCCTCTTCTGGTCTCTGTGGACACTGTACTACAGAGGTGCATTTACACACATGCAGGCAAAACACTCATGCATATAAAATACATAAATAGACAGCCAGGAGTGCTTTGAACCAGTAATCCTAGCACTCAGAAGACCAAGGCAGGAGGATCTGAGTTTGAAGCCAGCCTGAGCTACATAATGAGGACTCTTCTCCCCCCAAATCCAAAAACAGGGCTAGGGAGATGACTCAGTGGATAAAGTGCCTGCTGCATAAGCATAAGGACTTACATTTAGATCCCTAGTACTCACTTAAAGGCCAGGCATGAGGACTAGAGCTCTTTTTAGAGGACCTGGGTTCAGTTCCCAGCACCCCCGTGGCAGCTCACAACCATCTGTAATTAAGGTTCCTGGGGATCCTACACCCTCTGTTAGTCTCATCGGGCAGCTGAAATGTATTAGGTATACATACAAATATGCAGGCAAAACACTCATACAGATAAATTTTTTTTTAAATAAAAAAAGTCAGATGTGGGTGGCACCCTGTATCACAGTGTTGGCGGTGGAGGAAGGTGGATCCCCAGGGCTTGATGACCCATCAGTCAAGCCTAAACAGTGAGCTCCAGATTCAGTGAGAGAGCCTATCTCAAAAAAGAAGGTGGAGCATGATAGAGGACTATACCTGAAATGGACCTCTGGCCTCCACACCCACAGGTGAGTGCGCCCTCATACACACAGGTGTACACACATACATACAGCACCCCCCCCAAATCCCCAAACAAATAAGCCTGCAGGACAGAGAAATGGCTGAGGGAGGCCAGGTCCCAGACTGGGGTTGTTAGGAAGGTTTGGGGGAGGGGTTAATGCCATACCTGGCCTGAAGAGGCAGGTGATGGAGTAAGGAGCATAGCTTTCCTCTGAATAGCACAGCAGTGAGAAATATAAGCTAGCCTGGTCACCACACCCCTTGTACTGGTCCTCCCTTGTAAGTTTTTCTTGTTACTGCCAACTACTTGATTCATTATGACTCTGCAGTTTTCTTTCTTTTTTTTTTTGGTCTTTTTGAAATGGGGTCTCCCTGTAGCCCCAGCTGGCCTGGAACTTGCTACATAGACCAGGCTGGCCTTGAACTCACAGAGATCCACCTACCTCTGCCTCCCAAGTGCTGGGATTAAAGGCATATGCCACCACACCAGGCTTGCAGTTTTCTTTTACATTTATTTATCATCTATCTAATCTATCATCTATCATCTGTCTATCATCTATCATCTATCTTTCTATCATCTATCATCTATCTATCTATCATCTATCTATCTATCTATCTATCTATCT